CAAGGTGAGCGGATCACTTGAGGTCAGGAATTTGAGACCAGCCTGGCCAACATCAGTGGAACTCTGTCTCTAATAAAAATCAAAAAATTAGCTGAGCATGAGGGTGCATACCTGCAATCCCCAGCTACTCAGTAAGAGGCTGAGGCAGGAGAATTGCTTGAATCCAGGAGGCAGAGGTTGCAGTGAGCTGAGATCGTGCCACTGCACTCCAGCCTGGGTGACAAAGTGAGACACCATTAAAAAAAGAAAAGAAAAGAAAAGAAAAAAGTGGAGCACAGGAGAAAATGTCTCCCTTCATGGGTTAAACACCACAGAATTTACATCTGAGGGCTGGAACTGGGCAGCCATCTTGTGATAGGAAGCATCAAGCATGAGGATCAAGCCACTTGCAGGGGTCAGGGAACAGAGGAGCAGAGAGATGAAAAGAATCTAGAATCCTGGTGGCATCATTGAGCCATTAACTCAATCAAAAACCAGCTATCTTAGAAATTCATATTATGTTAAATGATGCATCTTCCTCCTTACTGAAGCTGCTTTGAGTTTTCTATTCTGCTACTTGCTGCCCAAAGCATCCCTAACAGGCATACTAACTGGTTGTATTGTTGGAGGAATTTCAATAAGTTAGCAGAAATAAAGTACCACTAATCAGTGCTGAGCACAGCAAACATCAGCTGCTCTGGAAATTAGGAAGTTATCTCAAGGCTTTAACCCTGAGACTGTCCCAGGGATCACAGACATGCCTGAGCTGGCAAATCAGTTCCCTGTCTCTCTTACTGAGAAAAGCCTGTCAAGTTTTCCAAGAAAGCCAAAACTCCTTGGTATCCCCAGCACCGCAACCCTATCACCCTGATGGGGCTGACCCCTTCTCCTCAACAAGAATCAATCACACTGCCTTTTGCCTAATGGGTTTTGATTTTCGCTCCCCTGATGGCAAAGCTTGGGGCCTGTGCTTTGGTTTGCCTCCAAGTTGCCAGAACACTCCATCAATTATTAACAGCGTCAGCTCAGTCTCCCTGGCACTGCTGCTATCAGAAGGAAAGGGTTTGCAGCAACCCGGCCCACCCAGCCCTAGAAAAAGGACTCTTTTCCTTAGCATTTATAAAAACAGTCCCCACCTGCTATGCGCTAGGCTCTGAGCAAAATTTTGACACGTGATTTCATGAAGACCCTGCAAGGTGAGCCTTTTATCTCCATTTTACAGGTGGAAGGTTGGGACTTGGAAAGTTGGAGAAACTGCCTAAAGCCAAAAACTAGGGAAGTGGGGAGCGGTGCAGAACCAGATCCGTCCTGGCTCTTCAGCAGATGAGATATGGCCACTTTTGTACCTTACAACCACCCGGAAATGAGCCTCCATTTGGTCCTGTCATTCTGTGAGTGCTAAGAAATTTCCACAGGCCTTTCTTGTTTTGACAAGCAAGGCATCCAAGCTGGGGGGATGGGTGGGGATGGGGTGGGCAAAGTGCAGATGACTGAAAGGAGGCCAGAGGCACAGGGACCTGGGTTGCAGGTGGGCAGTGAGAAGGGGTAACAGGTCCCCAAACCCTGAATGACTGACTGATTGCTTGCTTCATTCATTCATTCATTCATTCCACATGCAGTTATTTGGAGCTCCTCGGTGCCAGGCACCATGATGGGTGCTGGGAATCAAGCAGTGAATCAATTCATGGCACTCAAATTCTTGTGGGTGTGAAACAGAGAAAGACAAAGAAGCAGATATAATTTCAGATGGCGCTTAAGGCCTCTGCAGGAAAGACAACGCATGATGCAATAGAGAGTGAGAGGAGGGAAATTGTTTTGAACAGCGGTCAAGAAAGGTCTGTCTGAGGAGGGGACATGTGAGCAGGGACCTGCTCAAATGAGGAAGGGGAAGAAGGGGTGGACCAAGGGGGAATCTGGGGAAGAGCACTCCAGGCAGCAGGAACAGCAAGTGCAATGGTCCTGAGGCCAGATAAACCCTGGCCTGTTTATGGAACAGCAAGGCCAGTGGGGCTGGAGCCAAGTGAACCAGAGGAGATCAAAAGAGATGAGCTCAGATAGGTCGTGGGGGCCAGATTCTGCTGGGGCCTTGTATGCCAGGATGAAGAGTCTGGATTTTATTTTGAGTGTGATGGGAAACTTCTGGAGGATCTTAAGCAGAAGAATAATGTGATCCAATTTACATTTTGAAAAGCTCACTTTGGCTGCTATGTGGGGAATGGATTGCAGGGGCAAAAGTGGAAGCCGAGAGACTGGGGAGAAGGCTGCGGCACTTGATCATTATGGAAAGAACACCTGGGTTTGGAGTTCTGGCTACTCCTGTCTGCCTGTGGTGTGACCTTAGGCAAGTTACTTAACCTCTTTGAGCCTCGCTGTTTGCGAAAGGTGGGATAACAACAGAGTTGTGTTGTTAGACTCCATCCACAGTAGGTGTTTGATCAATGGCAGCCAGGATTTCTATTCTGAGGGCCAGTGAGCCTGCCTGCCTCCCCATTTCAGCTCTGGCTGCAGAAAATCCTAGATGGTCCATCTGCCAGGAATGTGAGCCGGCAGCCCCAGACTGGGATCATGGAGAGGTCACGAGGCTGTCCCTGCTAGCGGATTAACCCAAGGGAAAGGAGAGCTGTTATTCCCAAACTGTGCCTCTTACAAGTCCCAGCTCCTGGATCTTGCTGCCAGACCCAAACATGGCCCTGTGCCTGCTTCTTCTCCAGGAGGGCAAATCATCCACTTCCCTGTACCTTGTTCTCATGTCTTAGGGACAAGACAGGGAGGGAGAGTCATGTTTGGGCCGAAATGGGGTGTGGAGTGGGAGAACCTGTGTCATGCCTGGAAATAGCAAAATAAGTCTGTTGATCCTAAGCTGATTAAGGGTGAGTGACTCTGTCTTAAGAGGAGGCTTTTTGGACACAAAATCGGGGGCGGGATTATGGAGAGAGACGGTCCACAACCTCAGAGGAGGAAGCCAGGCCCCGGAACCTCTACATCCTTGTTAGGGCCAACAGGGAAATGAAAAACACACGTGGGTCTCCCTCCCCGCCTCTTACCAGCCACCGCTTCTCCATCCACTTTCATGGGCCTCTCCTTGGGTGGCCAGATCTGGAGGAGGGACCTCACGGAGTCCCCCTTCAAACTGCACCTGCAGATGGGCCTTCAGTGAGCCAGAGACTGAGCCAGAGACCCCACAGTGAGAGGCCAGGCTGGAGAGGAGCCAGCTTACCTAGTAAAATATGGCTGGATATGTACTTTCCTGTTTCTTTTGCCACAAATCTATGTACCTGACCCCTTTTTCAGACCCCAGACTCAGTTACATTCTCTCCATGTTTCCCAATTTGGTCTTGTTGGATTTCAACATCAACACCTGTCTTTTCTGGGTTCCCCGTGAACCTCACACAACCTCTTCTGTAGCCTTGCACACCCTGTTTTGTCATTTGCTCCCAGTACCCAGCACTTTGGGCACATGAAGACAGGCCCCATCTCTCCCAGGCAACCCAGAATCCCAGTCTGACGAGGAGAAGTTGCTGATCAACCAATGCCCTCCCGCCCTGCCTTGGCCCACACCCCAAGCCTTCCTCAGTCCCCTACAGCCCCTGCCATTACCCAGCAGCACCAAGGACTCTCTGGCCCACTCTGTGTGTTCAAACTCATTCCTGCCTCCTCCTCCTCCTCCTCCTTTATTTTTCACATTGCCTCATTTTTCTCTCCTATTTTGAAATTTACATCTTGTTCCAAGAGCCGAAGCATCTTTACAAGCTGCACCAAACCATTCTTGAAATAAACTCACCAAATAAATAAGTAACCAGGGGGTGACCCTTTGCCCACAAGCATCCACAACCAAAACTGCATGTGTCACGTGGGTCCACACCCACCCCTTAGGGTCCCTTCTTACTTGTGTTTAAACTACCTGACAGTATCTCAATGTCCTGTAAGCCTGTCTGTAAGCTGCTTTTATTCCCTTCCTGGGGCAAAGTGAGGTTATAAATATGGAGATATTAAAATCACAGGGTGATCCAATCCAGCCTAGGTCTGGGACTTCACAGGGAACCAAACTCTACTCCACCCAGCAAGCCTCTGTTGTCTCTCTCTGCTCTCTCTCTTATTCGTCAGTGTCCATCTTCTTGCTGTGGCTTTTATGGGTCCCTGTAAAACCCTCTCTCAACAAAGTAGGGGTATAACAGTATTGGATAATAAAAAGATAGAGTGACCAGTGCCACATGGGAAAGGTCTGAGGGGGTTGGTCCTCACCTCTGGGGACTCAGTCCTGGCCCCTTCCCATTACTAATCTTCATCTTTGGGAACTAAGAGTCCTCCAACCCTAGTCCTCAATATGGGGATGCAGGCAGATCCCCCCAGTCCAGAAGCTCCCAGATCCCAGACTCACCTTGGCAGCCACAGAGGAATTGGGCTTCTCCAGTAGGTCCCAGAGTTTTTTCCTCTTCTCTGCGCAGCACGTGTTATCGAACTCCTCGCCTTCCCGCTCCCGTAGGGTCTCGGCCTCACGCTTGAGCTCCTCATTCATCTGCTCCTTCTTCTGGTGGTAGCGGGCCTGGCAGCAGGACTCCAGGTAGATCTCGTCGATGCCCCAGTAGTCGAGCTCTTGGCTGAAGCTGAGCGCGCACATCTCCTCCATCATGTGCAGTCGTCCCGTGCGGTAGAAGTTGAGGATGGAGGTGAAGGCGCCCGGGTGGCGATCAAAGAAGTACTCGTTGTCGTCGAGGCTGTAGTCGTCGCATACCTCGAGCAGCGAGTCATGCGTGTTGCAGTCACGGAGCTTGCCCAGCCGCGTGCGGGGCAGGCGGTCCAGGGTACGCCAGAGCACCTCGTGTGCCAGCCCCCCGACGTTGAGGCGGACCCGCCGAGAGCACGCCTTGCTGCGTACGATCTCCATGGGCTCGGGCGGCAGCGAGCTGGTGGAGCGGGAGCCATGCTTCGTCATGCCCGCCGGCATCGCTGTTCCGGCCGCCCCCGCCCCCCCTGCCCCCCCAGGCCGCTGTCACTCGACAGCAAGGCCCGCTGCTGCAGGGGAGGGGGGCAGGGAGCGCTGTGGGCTGCTGGGGGTGCAGGGGGCCTCGCGGGCGCGCGTCACGGCCGTCTTCTCACCTCCATCCCGACGGCTGCGAGGCAGAAAGCGAAAGCGGACGCGGGTCAGCAAACCGGGAGCTGGGTATGCTGCCCCCCCAACCTGTCCACTAGGCTCCCAGCCGGCCTTGACCTTCCCCGCTCTTAAGCGGCTCAGTGGGGTAGGACGGATGGGCGCTGTCCCTACCGCCGGTGCTGAAGTCCGCCCCACCCCATGGATGCAGGGAGGGGCCGCCCCTCAGGGCTGGGAGAGGGCCCCAAGAGATGCCCCTGGAGCCCGGCAGGCCCCACCCCGGGCTTCCGCGGCCCAGGCGCAACCCCGCCGCCTGGGGTGCTGTCCGCCCTTTAGAGTGCTGAAACTTGCTTCTCTGTAGGGCTCCCGATCGAATCCCGAACCTGGCCCCGCCAAGGGGACAGAGGGGGAGCTGCATGAAAACTTTATCTTTTTCTTTCTTTCTTCTTCTTCTTTTTTTTTTTTTTTAAAGGAGTTCTCATCGTTTCCTTCCCCTGCTCGATATAATCACGATTTTGGGGATGGGGGAATGGCAGTGAGCTTCTTTCTAAATCTTAAAAGATTTGGGAGAATTCTGGGGTTCCAGGTGCCCACCTGTCCGAGATCACAACAGACGGGGTGTGCACAACAGCCCTTCTGCCCTGGAGCGACCCCTTTCCCCAAACACCGGAGCATCTCCTGAGGTCGCTCCAGCTACCAGGTGAGCTGCGAGGAGGAAAACTCGCCCCTCCCTCTGTGCCCCCAACCCTACTGCAGGAGGGGCGGGCAGAGTCCTCGGGATCCGCCTGCTCTGTCCTCCCCTTGTTCCTTCCCAGCCCCCTTCCCCTCCTCCTCCTCCTCCTCCTCCTCCTCCTCCTCCTCTTTCTCCTCCTCCTCCTCTCCTCCTCGCTCCTCTCCTGCGAAGGCTTTTTATAACTCCGGGTTCTGCGCCTTTCCCCGGGCTTGGAAGGGAAAGGGTGGGGGAGGTGGGAGGCGGGGAAATGAGCTAAATTTTCTGGCCTTTTCAAAACGTGCCCTCCTCCTACCGCGCACTGGTGATTTCGGGGGGTTTCCCTGAGCACCGCCTGTATGTAGGGCTCACGCCTTCGCTCCAGAATGGGGATCGCGCCCCCTCCCCGGCCTCAGCCCTTGTCTGCCCCCACCCCGCTCCCCTCCAGCCTGGATCCACGGAGCCTGGGCAGACCAACAGGCCGAGCTGCAGCAGGCAAGCCCCCCGCCCGTGTCCCCAAGCACCCCCACCGAAGGCCGTACGCCCCAACACTCACCCCCAGGGCGGCCGCCTCCCGGGGCCAGGGACCGCGCATCGTCCCGGCCGCCCGGGCGCCCCCGCCCGTGGGCAGCGGCGGTCCCGGGGCCGGGCTGGGCCGGGCCTACCCCGGCCGGGCAGGCGACGAGCCCGGGCTGCAGGAGCCGCGGGGCCCGGACGCGCTCTCCTAGGCTGGGGGCGCGGGCGGGCGCCGGGGGCGCGGGGGCAGGACCGCGGCCGCGCGGCGCCTCCTCCACCACCTCCTCCTCCTGCTCGCTCGGCGGCGGCAGCGGCTGCCTGGGCGAAATCAACAAGTCTGGCTGAGCTTCGGCTCCGCGCTCGCTGCGATTCTGTCCCGCACTTCTGAGCGCCAGGAGCCGGGCACCGAGGCGGGACGGCGCCACCTGCGGGTCGGAAGCGCGCGCGCCGCTTAACTCCTGCATGCCCGGCCCAGCCTGCCGGGGAGGCCGGGGGCGGGCTCCGGGCTCCGGCAAAGGAGGCGCGCGTGGCTGTGCATCCCTCTCCACCCCGGCCACCTGCACAGCCGGCCTCGCGATCTTGCCTTCCTTCGTCCCGTCAACAACGTGGGTTGAACGCCTCCCGGGCGCGAGGTGCGGTGCGGGGCACTGTGACAGGCGTCTGAGATACAGCTGTGAATCAAACACAAACATCCGGCCCTCGTGGAGCTGGTTGGAAACAGATCATAAACAAAAAAGCAAAAGGATATATGAGGTGGTGACAAGCGCCGGGGGAAATAATGAAGCAGTAGGGAGGGTCAGAGGGTGGGAGGGGGCAGATACCAACTGTAAATAGCCTTTGCTTTCATGAGCTTCCATTCTAGATTTTAACGGGGGCGGGGGGAAGAGGGGAGGGACAATGAGCACATCAGTACATATGCAATGTGGCAGGTGGTAATAATCGCTAAGAAGAAAAATAAAGCTAGGTGGGAGGAAGAGTGAGGAGTAAGCTGGCTTATATAGTCTGGTGATTCATTCATTCATTCATTCATTCATTTATTCATGTTAAGTTGGACATCTGGTTATTGACAGCTTCCTATGTGCAAGCAGAATGCCAGGCTCTGTGAAGGAAAAGTCTTCCCCCTGGAGCTCCCTATCCAGTGGGGGAGGCAAAACCCATCAGATAATCCCAGAAATGAATATAGAACTGGAGGAGGTACCTGGAGGGGCTGGCAAGGGTTTCCTAAGGATGCCACAGTTGGGCCTTGTAATCTCAGCGCTTTGGGAGGCTGAGGCAGGAGGAGGATGGCTTGAGCCCAGGAGTTGGAGACCAGCCTGGGCAACATAGTGAGACCCTATCTCTGCCAAAAACTAAAAAATTAGCTGGGCATGGTGGTGCGTACCTGTGGTCTCAGCTACTCAGGAGGCTGAGACAGGAGGATCACTTGAGCCCAGGAAGTCAAAGCTGCAGTAAGCTGTGATTGCACCTCTGGATAACAGAGTGAGACCCTGCCTCGAAAAAAAAAAAAAAGGTGCCAGAGATGGGTAAAGGTGCCAGAGATGGGTACAGCAGTGAGCTCCCTGCCTTGGAGGGCGAAAACTGAACAAGATACCGGTCCCAACAAGGGTTCCTCTCTGGCCCTTTTCTTCATCTTCAAAATTAAGAGGTTTGTTTCCATAGAGCTGCACATAATATTCTTATATATTTTTAACCTGTCCACTTATCATCTCCATCATCATGACCCTTGTCCAATGTACCATTGTCTTGTCTCCCTGCAACCTGGCCTCCCCGGCTCTTGCCTTGGTCTCCTAAAGTTCATTCTCCCCATGGCCACTGGAACAACTGCTACATTTCATAAATTGGAACATGTTTCTTATCTGCTTAAAACCTTCCCAGGACTTTCCCTTGCTTTATATTAAAACCTAAACTTCTGACCTATTGCCCTAATTCAGCCCTGCCCCCTTCTCTGAGCTTGTAGACCAGTGGAGGAAGACAAGCAACTAAAAAGGTGAATTTTTAAAATGAGAGAGTTTCAGGCTATGCAGAGTATTATAAAGGGAATGGAACATCATGATGGCGTGGAAAGGGACCAAGCTGCTAGCTTTACACAGGGTGGTTAGGGAGGGTGTTTCAGAGGAGATTAATAGAGACTTGAAAGATAAGAAGGGACTAGCCACAGAGAAAATGAGGAAAGGGCATTCCAGGTGGAGGAAACAGCAAGTGCAGATGCCCTGGGCTGGAAACGGGAATGAGCTATGTTTAAGGAACAGGAAGGCAACCAGAGCGGTTGGAACAGAGGAGGCAGGAGGGACCATGAGGGTGGGGTAGGAACTATGCAGGCTTCTATGGGCCATGGCAAGAGTTTTGGCTTTTATTCCAGGAAAGTCACTGGAAGTTTTGAGCAGAGTGACTTAGGTTAGACTCAGGACACTCTGGAGAACAGACAGTGGGGAGCAGGGGTAGGAGTGGGGAGACCAGCAAGGAAGCTGTTGTAGTTGCCCAGGCAAGAGATGATGGTGGCTTGATCCAGGATGGTGGTAGTGGAAAAAAGTGGTCATGCAGGGTCTATATCAAGGGTAGTGCTGTAAGGATTTTCTGATAGTTTGGATGTGGGATGTGAGAGAGAACAATCACATTCCCTCCTGCTTCAGGTTGGCGTTCCTAGGGTCAGAAACGGTTCTTAGCTTGCCCCTCTGTAAACCTAAGCTGCTGAAGGGAACCTTTCCCCAGAGATCTGGGCATTCTCACAGGAGGCTGCAGAAAACAGTAAACCCTTCCTGATGAGAAGAATAAAACGACTCTACAATGGTGAAATTTCCATTCCAATTTCCAATGGTGAAATTGCAGGCATCACTGCAGGCATTACTGTGCCTTCCAGGTACAGCTAAAACAACACCTAGAAGTGCAGTTCTTCTCCAATCCATATAGCCAAGGAGTGGGGATGAATGTTTGTTGGGCACCTACTACGAAGAGTCCTCTAAAGGTATAACATCAGTCAGCACCCACATCTGTAAATAACAGAGGAGGTTATTTATAGATGTGGAAGCTGAAGCTCCTAGAGAAGGTGCCTTGCCCAATATCTTGCTGGCGAGTGCTGGCACAACCAGATATGGGAATCTCTTGTTTCACTCCAAAATCAACAGGCTATCCAAATGCCAGAGCACCCTCTCTGCAAAGTCCTTCCTTCATCAATTCATTTACTGATTAATGGAATCATTCTAGATGTTTACTGAGCATCTACTATGTGCCTCAGCATGGGTGTTGGTGCTGGGAATTGAGGATGAATAACTGACATGGTCCCTGACCTCATGGAGCTATACACCTCTTTGTCAAGGCCAGGAACACACAGAAAACCTGATACTTGTTTTTCTTCTGTATTGTTTTATTCATTTTTAAATTCCCTTTTATCTGCATTCCCCTCCTGCTACCCTTTCTAGCCCATAGGAAATGATTGTCATGTGTCAATCACATATTGTTTTGTTTGGGCTTGTTTTTGTTTTTGCTCATAGAGATGGGGACTCACTCTCTCATCCAGGTTGGAGTGCAGTGGCATGATCATGGCTCACTGCAACCTAAAACTCCTGAGCTCCAGTAAACCTCCTGCCCTGGCCACCCAGTGTTGGGATTACAGGTGTGAGCCACTGTGCCCAGCCTGTATATTGCTTTGTTTGTACGTATGAGTTGTTGAAAGCTGTGTTTGGTGTTTTTGTGCATTTTAAAACTTACATACATGGTTTGTGTTATATATCACATTCTATTTGTTTTTCTCTAAGATCCATCCATGTTGCTGTGGGTACACACCCAGCCTGCTGCTCCTAATAGCTGCACAGTTGTTCACGATGACACAATGTCCCCTCTCCACTGTCTACCCCCATGTGGTCACCCAGATGACCTCCAACTCCTACCACCGCAACGAATACATCCATGAACCTCCTCCTGCGTGTCTGTTTATGAGCCAGTGTGATGATCTTTTTAAAAAACCTTTCCTGCAGGTTTAGAATGGACACATCACAGAGTATGTATGCACTTAATTTAACTAAGCACACCCAAGTCTCCCGAAAGATGTCTGTTCCAGGCTGCATCTCACCAGCAGTGTTGGGAGTTCCTACAGCTCCACATCCCAGCCAACATTTGTTATTATCCAGATATCTAGGTTTTGACAGTCTAACATGTACAAAGTAACATCTCAGCATATTTAAATTTGCATTTCTCTGATTACTCATGAGTCCGAGACTCTTCATACGCTTGTTGTTCTCTTGTATAAGTCGCCTGTGCACATAGTGGCCCATATTTCTATCAGGATTCCTTTTTATTTCTTGATGATTTGCAGGGTTCCTTTGTATAATGTAGATTTTAAGTCCCTTGTGGATTTTTAGACATTGCAAACATCTTCTTCTGCTCTGTCACCTATCTATTAACTTTGTCTGTGGTGTCCTTTATTAAGCAGAAATCCTTTTAATGGGATCAAGATAATTTATTTTTGGCTATACGGTTTGTGCTTTTAAAGTTTTTGTTTGAGTCCTCCCCTGCCCTTAAGTTGCAAACATTTTTGTTTATTAATTTTGTATTTTTATTTTTTACTTTAGGTCTTTAACCAGTTGTGTGTGTGTGTGTGTGTGTGTGTGTGTGTGTGTGTGTGTGTGTGTTATTTGGTAGGGAGCCAACTTCATTAATCCCCTATAGTTGGCTAGTTTACTGAAAACCACCTGTGAAATAACCTGTCCTTTCCCCAGCTGATCTGAGGGTTACCTTTGTCATGTGAAGCCTCCTGCACTCCCCACTCTGCTCTATTGGGCTACTTGTGCTTATGCACCGTGGTCCTGTTTCATTATTATGGCTTTATAGTGCGCTTTACTGCCTGTAGCCCTTGTATCTCTTCTTTGTTCTTTTTTTAGGGCAGACTTAGCTATTTATGGACCTTTAATACTCTCTACAAACTTCTTAGTAAGTTTATTAAGGGACAGTTTCTCTTCCCTTGCTCTTGTCTCCTAACCCTGATCACCAATCTGTCACCAAAGCATACCCACAGCTCCTCTGCCCGGTGAAACCCTAAGGAATGTTGCCATAGTTAATACTAAGTGTCAACTTGATTGGATTGAAGGATGCAAAATACTGCTCCTGGGTGTGTCTGCGAGGGTGTTGCCAAAGGAGGTTAACATTTGAGTCAGTGGACTGGATGGGCACCATCTGATCAATTGCCAGAATAGAGGAGACGGGAGAAGGTGGGAGAAGCTGACTTGCTGAGTCTTCTGGCCTCCATCTTTCTCCCATGCGGGATGCTTCCTGCCCTGCAACATTAGGCTCCAAGTTCTTTGACTTTTGGACCCTTGAACTTGCACCAGTGGATCTCAGGCCTTTCGTCACAGACTGAAGGCTGCACTGTCAGCTACCCTACTTTTGAGGTTTGGGGACTTGGATTGAGCCACTACTGGCTTCCTTGCTCCTCAACTTGCAGACAGCCTACTGTGGGACTTCACCTTGTGATTGTGTGAGTCAATTCTCCTTCATAAACTCCGTTTCATATATAAATATATATCTATTCTATTAATTCTGTGCCTCTGAGGAACCCTGACTAATGCAAATGTGGACAGACAGATCCCTGGAAAGAAACCTAGGGCCAATCTTCCAATCAGCTGGAAAGCCAAGGAAAGCAATTTCCCACAAAAATGAGTGAGACAGATATTTTGATGTTATTATGTTTTTTTGTTTTCAAAACAAACAGGGGATATGTTAGAATGTCTGGGGATATTTTCGATTGTCGTAACTCCGGGAGGGAAGGGAGAGTGGTCATCCTGGTATCTAGTGGGTAGAGTCCAGGGATGGTGCTGAGCACCACGCATGGCCCAGGACAGCCCCCAACTATAAAGAATTCTCCAGCCCCAAACCTCAA